TGACATTGGAAAATTACAGGTGTATCCATTTCTACTGCATTTATATCAGAATCCACTGATCTTCTGGCAGGCATTTGCTGGGCAACCAAATTTAATCTTTGTGTCCATTCACTATATGTACATGCAGTAATTAAGTTAATTTTCAATTTATAAATAGCTAGATATCAGAAAATTGATCTGAGAAAAAAGATTTCTTGGTTGCACATTGATCCTAAGTCTTGACATTTTTCAAGAGTGCATTGGCATGATGAAGCCCGGGACAGGGAAAGAAGTGTGGTAGGGACGAAAGGAAAGAAAACATTACTCATAGCTGTGTCTAAAATAAGTCAATACATCTAAAGTGTGACTAAAAGTAAAGTCAAACGGAAATAGTGTGTAAATAGGTTGGTTTCCACAGCTACAACACTATGTTACTGTGAATTTGTGAAGTCTGCAGTGTTATACATTGTAATATGCCTAGCTTATAGTATGTAAGGTTACTGCAGTACCAGTAAACACATTCTAATTTCCTGCGATTACCAGATTTCACCCAATAACTTTCATAAAACTTAAATAAAAGTTACACCATATAATGTTATGAATGATAAATCAGAATAAAAAAGCTTATCTGTATTTTACTGACTTGTTACACTTGCATATTTTGTTGAAATGGAACCTGGTGAGTGAGAAAGAGGACGTGTGTATGCTATTTCTGAGTACAGAAATGGTAATATTCCGGCAGCTGGGGCACCAAAAAAATGCTGTAAAGTAACAAGACAAACACTTATTTTACTGTTAATTGTTGGTAATTTTATGTAATTTTGGTTTTATTATTCATATTTATCATATTAACAGTATTAAACTGAAATGTAACAGTTTAATCTACTGAATTAACCATTTTACCTTTAAAAAAAATATAGATTTGTAAGTCTAAGTAATTTTCTTTAAATGATTAGTAATAAAATGATAATTTAAAGTTACAGATTTTTCATGTTATTTTACATTAGACATGGAAATTCACATTCCATTTTTGTAATTTTATTAATGTTTTCATGTATTAAAAAAATACAGAAAAAAATTACCCATAAAATTACAGATTTTTTTTTAACAATGTAGGCTTTAAACGAACTACATCATGGTCACATGACTTAAACATCCAACCTAAAATCTAAAGTTGTAAAGATTGAGTTAGAATAGTTGTAAGAGTATAAACACAACAAGGCTGTAAAGGCTGAGTACATAAATCTCCATGTTTGGTGAGCTGATGTTTAGCAAAACCTATGTAGCCTCATTTAGCCACTTGTTAGCAACCGCCTTTTTGAAGACACATAAAAGCGTCAAGAATTCACAGATGGGGCATTTAGTGACATATCTTGCGTCATAAAACTAAACATGAAAGTCTTTTACGCTTGTGTTAACAGACTTTATTTCAGACTTCAAAAACCCATTGACTTAAGGAGAGGGAACCGGAAGTGCTAAAATGCTAACTCATTTGTGACTTGATACTTGAGTCATAAGTAGTAGTAATATCCCTCTGGAGTCTGTCTATCCATCAGTGAATCCATGGAACATCTGTTATCTATAACATAACTTTATTTATCATGTAGAGACAAGCTGAGAAACCCAGTTGAAAGTGGTGATGAGGGGGCTTTCACACACAATCCCATTTACACCAGACTATAAGAAAATGTTTAGAATACTGTGAATTATCAATATTTTCAGTGATTTACAATGATATACTACTGACTGAAGAAGTAACATTAGTGGGTAATAGCAGCGTCAGCAGAAAGCTCAACTGTTTCTCACAGTTACTCACCAAACTGCACGATAAGTGTTTGTGACAGGAAGTGAGCATTGTGAGATGGCCATTTGCATGTGTGATTAATGATTAATGCTAATGGTTTCTCAGACAGAGGACAAGAGCAAGAAAACATCTTAGTGGTATTGACTTTCCGCTCTCAGAGGAAACAGAGAGTTTCACTGCTGCAAGAAGGAAGTATTGTCACTGATCAAAACATTTGACAATACTTGGCTCATTAGTAGGATAATATATGCATTAAGAAGGCATATTTTATCGTATAGGCACGAGTAAGGGTGAAGTTTCCACAGGAAATGAGGGCACGTGTCCCTCTCACTAACAGCTTCAGTTTGATAAACTCTCTAATATCTCTAACACAATCTAGGAGGAGTTGATAAAAATGTCGATATTATCTAGGTCTCTTTCAAGTAAGTACATGTATTCATGGTAATTAGCTGAACAAGCAGCAGTGAGTGATATAATATATAATTTGGAAAGCCCAATTCCAATATAGTATGCCATTTGCTAGACTGATATAGATATTTAAACACATGGAATTGCTTAAGAAGATCAATTTCTTGAGCGCAAGAAAAAAATTATTTTTACATTTGCCCGTTTCAAATACATTTACAGTCATAGTTGGGTTTTAAATGAGTACCCCGGTGATTTAATATTGCACTTATAAATAAAGCTGGAGGACTTGCAAAAGACAGAAAAAAAAAAAAAAAAGAATGGTCAAAGTTGAAGCAGCAGAGGCCAAACACTGGATACTTCATTTCCCATGATGCAATGTGATAGAATCTTTTATGGTTAATTCCATTTGGAGCGGGAAGTCGGAATTTCAGAGTTCCAAGCTGGAAGTTCTAACTGAAGTCGGATTTCCTACGAGGAAAGTCAGAAGAACATCACCCAATCTCAATCCCAATCTCAAAATCCAAGATGGCTGCTGCACTCATCAACTAAGTGAAAACTGTTGTAAAATACTGTTTATTAGCACTTCTGTCTTTAGTGTCTCAGTCGTACACACATTACTGTCCAACTTCTGTCTGTGGATGTTTGTATGAACAAAACACAGCGTAATGCATCAATGCAATTATCAACTGGTATTGCTAGAGCTTGGTTATACGACACGTACTGGAACACGGCCAATTCGGCTCATGCCCAGCTCTGACAGTACGTGTCATTACAACAGCATGCAATAATACTTACTGTCAGTTAGACACAAGATGTGGCAGTGGAAAAAGCTGTAAAAACAACATACAAGTCTAACATGTTACCATTAGCAAACAGTTATTTTATTTGATCATGAACACATCCAGCAGGCACAGAGCAACATTAGCATTCCCTTGGAATGTGCCCATATAACTATATCCCCTCAAATTATGTTATTATTATTATGTTAATGTTAATTATTATGTCTCTACACGTTTTTGCTCACAGGAAACACACAATGCCTCATGAGCAGCAGCAATGAGGTTTCCAGGCACTAGATTAAAGTGTTCCTGCTGACAGGTGCTTAAACTGCTCATTATATAACAACAATTATTATTTCTCTAGAATTGTCCCAATGAGCCTAAATATTTTTTCTTACACGCTGTGTAAACACATCTCATTTCCTGAACAGAATAGGTCTCATAATAGCACTTTCTCTTATATTCTGCTCTGGGGCACACACAGATTACAGCATGTGCACGAGTCATTCAAAATCAATCAATACTTCCTCTTCACTAGAAGCAAATTAGCTCTTCAGTCTGTCCAGCAATCAGAGAGAGAGAACAGCCCTCACATCAGCATCCTCGTGCCACTTTACACGTTAACATTCAGGTTCAGGACTGGATTCAGCATTCGGAAGAGCCAAAACACACGCAACTGGTTGGTTCACTCAAATTACAAAAGAAAAACGTTCTTTTCCCTTCCCTCTTCTCTGGTATGTAGTGTTAGAGAAAATAATTCAAGTCCAGTTCAGAGGTTTGCTGTAGTGGGGTGAGTTTTATGACCGAAGGGTTAAATTGACAAGGAGACAGGAGACAGCAAGAATACACATTTCGTATAATGACAAGATCAAGGGTGCATATGACAGATCAAGGAACCAAACGAGCAGAGGCTGGAAACCGCTCCCAGACGTCACGTGATTAGCAAGTCTGCTCATCATTCGTCAGTAGCAATGCTTTTGTGTGTCCAGGTTTTTCTGGGAACTCTGCCTCCACCCTAATGCAATTTAAGTAATTAAATAAAAGTTACTCCAACAGAATTTGTTGGGGACCATTTTCAGTGTCAGATTAATCCACATTAGGTGCTCTAGTGAGTATTTGGGCCAAACAGATGCTGTATATGGTGTATGATTGAGTCAAAAATAAACTACAGTGTGTGTGTTCATGGTAATGAAGGAACATCACCCTGGGCGCAGATAAATTATTTCTAAATCATTTATGTGATTGCGAATATATAATTAATAGAAGCCAACTGGTCTTTTAAAATAATTCAAACATAAACACAACAGCTTTTGTAGGTTTAGCTTTAAGAATCTGAATCAGAATCAGAATCACTTTTATTCGCTAGGTATGTGTGCACATACAAGGAATTTGAATCCAGTTTTATGTTGCTCTCAATGTACAAACACAGATTAACAGTATACATAAACAGAACAAGTTCAGCAAAAAAAAAAGACAGACTTATATGTACAGTTACACATATCTATAAACAAACATTTGTAGACAGTATCTATCAACGCAATAAAAAGGTTTAAAAATGTAACTGGTGAA